ATGAGATTATTTCAATTATTTTGTACTTATTTAAACACCTGTGATGGCCTACATGTGGTCTACTTTGGAGAAAGTTCTAAGTGTTGCTGACAGAATGTGTTCTGCTATTGTCAGATAAACACTCTACAGATATTTTTAGATCAATTTGTTCAACAGTGTTGTCCAACTCTGACACCACCATTGAACTTTTTGATTTATTGATTTTTTTATGGTTGACCTATTTGTGAGACTGGAGCATTAATCTCTGCTTTATGCCTGTATTGATGTGTATATGTCTTTTTATCTCAATACATTTTTGTTTTCTGAAATAAAATGCACCAGCATTTGGTGCATATATATTTACAAATGTTATCTCTTCCTGTTGAATTGTATCTCTACCAATAAGTGACCTTCTTTGTTTCTTCTGATCCATTTTGAGTTGAAGTACAATTTTTCTGACATTAGAATACTATTCTTGCTTGCTTTGGGGCTCAATATATGTAGCATCGTTCTTCACCCTTCCACTTTCAGTCTATGTGTGTGTTTTGTAGATGTGATGTGTCTCTTTCAGACATTATAAAGTTGAGTTTTGTTTCTTAATTCAATCTGCCAGTCTGTGTCTTTTGATTGGGAAGTTAAGACCATTTACAGTGAGCATTATTATTGATAGGTATTAATGTATTCTTGTCCATGGATTAGTTTTTAAGTGATGATTCTTTTTACTTTTTTATTTGACTACTTTTCCAATTAAATGTATTTTTCCCTTTGAATTCTTTGAATTGGCATTACTGTCTCTGATTAGAGTCTTTTGAGTATTTTCTACAGTGCTGATTTGGTGATCATGAATTATTTAGATTCCCTCTGTAACAAAAGGTTTTTATTTCTCCATCAATTTGAAATATCATTTTGCAAGATGTAGATTGGTGATTACTTCCTTGTAGAGCTTGGAAAACTTCACCCCAAGCTCTGCTAGACTTTAGTTGAGAAATTTGCTATTATTGTAATAGGCTTGCATTCACAAGTTGTGTTACTTTTTGTCTAATGGCTTTTAGTATTTTTGCTTTGAATCTCTGGGATTTTGACTCTGATGTGTTGTGGAGAGGTTCTTTTCCAGTTGTGGCTGTTTAGGGATGCAGACGGAGAGCTCAGTGGCATTTGCGTCTGCAGTACCTCTCTAGCAGTGCTCTGATGCCTTTTATTTATCCACGGCTCTCACTCATCACAGACACTGCAATCTCTATGATTCTCACTGCCTCATAGATTGCTCAGTCACTATTTCTGGATCCCTCAGAGGGCTGTGCCCTTTGCTCCTCTGTTCTGGAGCTCACCAGTCCTAACACAGTCACTACCTTCTGAGTGTGATTCTCTGGCTTTTGTTTTCCTTAGTACGCTGATGTGGAGAGACCCTCACTTCAGAATTCCTCACTTGCTGGGCTCCATTCCCTAAATGGGAGGAGAGTTAGGCCAGGTGGGTACTGGGCAGTGGCTTGTAGACTGGGCACCAACCCTCTGCCTCACTTTGTTTCTTCTTTTGAGAGGATTTGCACTTTGCCCAAGGTGTGTTCACTGGACCTGGGCTTGAGCAGTGTCAGGGTTGAGAAGCAACTTCTCCCTGCCCTGCACACCCTGATCCGGGATATCACGGGCTTCTTCATGTTGCTCTCCTGTTGGATTTTCTTTTTCCCAGCTCTGGGTACCTGAAGGCTTTGATGAGCTGATTCCAAGCATTTCCTAAGTGTTTCTGCCTCCATTCTAGCATGATGCTTGCCTACCTGACAGTTTCTAAAGGCTGAGTTTACTATTGAGATTGCCATGAACAATGCCAGAACTCCTCACTGAGCAACTGGAAGGAAGCCAATCTGTTCCAAAGAAGAACAGGGTTGTAAGCAAGGATAGTGTATTAGTCAGGGTTTTACTAGAAAAAACAGATAACATGAGATAAACAAATGTATAAGAAATGACAAGATTGGCTTACGACGGTCAGCCATAAAGTCAGATGAGGGAGTGTGCAGAGGGTGTCTATACTCTGGAGGCCCAAGGATTCAATCCAAGGTCTAGAGTTCACCCTAGTGTCTCATGCAAGTCCACACCAGCAGGCTGATGGGTCTGTGACAGAATGCCAAAAGATCTATGATGGAAGGCTGAAGAGTCTATGCTGGGAAGCAAAGAGTCTACACTGGAAGCCAGGAGACCAGGTCCAAACCAGAGGTGAAGACTGGAGCTTCTCCAAAGAATGGAATGCATTCCTCCTTCCTCCTTCCCTTTTATACCTCCAAGTGATGAGCCACCCTAGGGTGGGTCTTCTACATCCTAGGGTATAGACTTGCTAAACTCATTTAACTAAGCTTCTAACTGTCTCAGGTTGACACAATCAATCAACCACTACAGATAGTAACTTGGAAGAGGCTTTTGAATCTTACATGGGGATCCAGGCAGAGAGCCAGATACAGAAGTGGAGAGAGAGGAGGGTCCAGGCTGCAGTGTCACAGAGCATAACTGGGGTGAAGAAGCCCACAAGGGAGGCAAGAAGAGATAACCGACCGAATGTGGAGAAAAGGAAACACGCTTATCACCCGTGGCCTTTGTATCAGCCGGCTCTCTTTGTTTATTAATTGTAATAAATTTTTGGTGTCCCCTTTAGATATTTGTAGGAAATATTCTGGTCTATTAAGGTCTAATTAGCCAATAAAAGTTTAGACACCTTTAGTGTATAATGCGATTTTTGTGGATATTCACTTGGTAGCTTGTAATTATCATGATTGATATCATTATCTTATGGACAAACAGAAACTGCATGTAATGGTTTGAAGTCTGTTCACACTGTTCTATGCTAAGGAAAGCTACCATTTGAGTGACCTCACATATTTACCTACCAACATCCCTGCACTTTGAACTAACACGTCCTGTGTTACTTAAAAGTTGTTTTAGATCCAGAAGTATTTGAGTTTTGTAGTTTTGTTGCTTTATGATAAGAACTTTAAGAAACGTACTGTATTAGCAATTTTGAAATATACAATGCATCATACTAACTATAGTCACCACTATGTACATCTCCAGATCTGACCCCTCCTTTATACCCTTTGATCAATCTCTTAGCCTTGCTCCCACCCCCAGGCCTCTGCACTCCCACCACTTTCTCCTCTTGCTTTGCTGAGTTTGGTTTTTCAGACTGCAAATCTGAAAAAGAACATAATGTGATATTTGTCATTCTATGCCTGGTTTATTTCACTTGATATAATGTCTTCTGATGTCATCTTTGTGGTTGAATAGGAAAGGATTTCCTTCTTTTCTAAATACCTAATATTCCACTTTGCCTACGTGTAGTGTGTGTGCGTGTATGTGTGTGTGTGACTTTCTGATGCAATCACCCATGCACCATGACATTCACTTCATCTTAACCTTGCCTATTGAACAATGCTACAGAATTCTGGTTTGTCTCTCAGATGTGGTTTTCATTTTGTTGATCATCCACATACCCAGAAATGGGATTGGTGGATCATATGGTAATTTTATTTTTAGTTTCGGAGCTGTCTCCATGTTGTTTTCCACAATGGCTGTTCTAATTTATAGGCAAAAGAAATAGAATAGTGATTACCCTGTTGGGGGCAGGAGAAATAGAAAGATAGCTCTTAACTGGTATAGGCTTCCCTCTAGGATACTGAAGAACTATAGCGATCAGTGGTGATGGTGGTGTAATGGCCCGTACGTTTAAAATGGTTGAAAGGGTACACTGTGTACATTTTACCATGGCAACAACAAAATAACCAGGGACTTTTACAAGGAAAAGAAATGGCTAGTAATGAGACAAAAACATGTCCAACATCATTTGTTGCGAAACTACAAGTGAAAACCAGGAGATATCAGAACACATTTAATGCAATGACTAAAAATTAAAACTTTAAACTTCCCCCCCAAAAGGAAGGAAGCAAAAAGAAAAAATAAGAGGATAGAAAAAAAATGAAAAGGAAGCTTTATAAATAAAGAGGGGAAGAGAGATTGAAAGGAGGGAAAGGGATTGGGGAAAAAAGAATAAAGATATACTTTGTATGGCTACAAATTCCATATAATGTATATGGTCATTATATATACCTAGCATGTACCAAAAAATTAGTTTTAAAAATGAATAAATATCCCCTAAAATATCCAAAAAATGCAAAACACTAAGGAGGATATTGAGTAAGCAAAGCTCCCAAGTACACTTATTAAGAAGATAAAATTTCCCAAGCACTTTGTAGGGCAGTCTGAAATTTTCACATATATTTAATTTACCCTTTCCCTAGGATCAAGTAATCTACTTTGAAATATTTACCCAAGTGAAATACAAATTTATCATGACAGAAAAACCTGCATGCTCATACTTCTGGCAGCTTTATTTCCTAGTCACCCAAACCTGAAAACAACTCAGATATTCCTCAGCTGGTAAATTGTATAAGAAAGGTGGTCCATGGGAACAATGTCGCTCGGGGCTGGAGTCACAGGGGACAGATTACCCCATGGCACACCCCTCACCACAGTGCGTCACACCCTAAAGTGGGGACAGAATTTGACTGCCTCACTGGAGGAGGAGGAACATGATGAGAATTGCATCAAGAAGTAACTTTATCTGAATACATCACGCCTTTTGAGGCACATTTGCATAGGAGGAGCAGATGTGCTGCGTGGAAGGAGGAGCTCATCTGTGAGCTGGGGATGGACTGAAACTCACCGCAGTCCATGCCACCCCAGTGGCACTGCCCTAGCCCAAAGCCCGGGCCTCTTTTCTGTCTGAAAGGACTTGTCTATTTCTTACGGCAAACTTTGCAAGCCAGTGTTCCAGTGCTAGGGAAAGAACCCCTTGCTTGTATTTTATAATTGTATCAAAGGCACCACCACGATGCACGGCAAGCCCTGGAGCCTGCAGCTCTATGTCTGGTGCAGCCCTACACTGGGGTGTCTCAGGACCAGGACATCCCTTATCTTGTCTCCTCCTAGGAATTGAGTTTCCCTCATGTTTGTTGAGTGAAAGCAGGACAGGCTGTTACCTGCACATCGCTGGGGACTCACTTCCTTCTATTCTTCTCTTCCAAACAGGAGATGATTCAGGACCTGCTGGTCAGCAGGGTCCATCTCACATGGCAGTGGGTGAAGTTGTGAGTCAGTGTGCCAGGCGGGAGGTGGGCAGCCTCACTTCATTCACAGCGCCTGCCGCAGGGGTCCTCAGTGTCCTGGCACAAGCCCAGTGCTCAGAGAAGCTCCCAAGGTGGGGTCAGGACGTGGCTTCTGCTCCTGCCTGTCCTCTGGGCGGGTCCCTGAGTTTCCACCCACTGTATAGCGGGACAGCTCCCTCCGGGTGTGGGTCTAAGTTCCTCTTCTGTGAACCCTCAAGGCTCCTGCTCCACCCCTGCTTCTGTGGCTCACACAGCACTTCCCCTGCGCACTGCTCCCTTCTCCACTCACACACAGGGGCCCGGGATCCTCAGCACTGAGATGCTGCTGCCCCTGCTGCTGCTGCTGCTGCTGCTGTGGACAGGGGAGTGGGCACAGGGACAGAGGAGTGGCCACAGGCACCGGAGGCTGCCAGATGCTGAGCCTTCTTTACCCTCGAGGTGCGCACCTGTTAGTCGGACCCACAGGGTGGAAGTGCCAAGGTCGGTGACTGTGCAGGAGGGTCAGTGTGTCCTCGTGCCCTGCGGACTCCCCCAGAAGGCAGTGTCCTCTAGGAATGGCTCTGTCTATGGCTACTGGTTTCAAAAAGGGGCTGATACAAATAACGACTCCCCAGTGGCCACAAACGACCCACAGCGACAAGTGCAGGAGAGGACTCAGGACCGGTTCTACCTCCTGCTGGACCCAAAGACCAGGAACTGCTCCCTGAAGATCACAGATGCACAGAGGGGTGACCATGGCTCATACTTCTTTCGGGTGGTCTCAAGAAGTCTAAAGTGGAATTTCTGTGCCAACCAGGTCTCTGTGGAAGTAACAGGTAAGGCCTGGGCACAGACACAGCTTATGGGGGCCTCTTGAGGTAGCTGGGATGGATGCTGGTGGGAAGGGTTGATTTCAAGAATTAGGACCCCAGGAGGGGCTAGGTTTGAGCCTAGGCTTCTCCCACATCTGTACCTGGGACCCACCCTCATGATCCCACTGTCTCCTCTCCTCTCCAGCCCTGACCCACATCCCTGACATCCTCATCCCGGAGATCCTGGCATCTGGACGCCCCAGCAACCTTACCTGCTCTGTGCCCTGGGCCTGTAAACAGGGGACACCCCCCATCTTCTCCTGGGTGGGGGCTTCTGTATCCCACCTGGACCCCACTGTCACCAACTCCTGGATGCTCACCCTGAGCCCCTGGCCCCAGGACCATGGCACCAACCTCACCTGTCAGGTGAGGTTCCCTAGAGCTAATGTGACTGTGCAGAGGACCGTCCAGCTCAACGTCACTGGTAAGTGCTGTCCTGGTAATCCAGGTCCCTGGGCCTGGAACAGGAAGACAGAGCCCTGGAACTCACACCACTCTGTGCTGGAATCCTGGGTGCACAGGGGCCTTGGAGGAACACAGTCTTGAACCTTAGTGTTTGTGTGGCTTCTGGGTTGGTGGTGGGGAATGCCTCATTATCACCTCCTCTTCACCCCAGTAGAGAGGGAAACAAATGCTGTCTTCTGTTCCAGAGTTTGCAGAGGAACCCTGCAATCAGGGTCTCCCCAGAACCTGACTTAGTAGAGGGAGACTCCTTCTTCCAGGGACTGCTGCTGGCTTGTTGCCTGTGCTGGGTTTGGTCTGAGTAGGGTTCAAATATTGGGAGGCCTGCAGCCAATCACAGGTAGCCTCCATCAGGCTTCTTGCTCCAGGTGAGGACCTTCATGGGTGAGCAGCGATTGCCTCCTCTCCCCTCCTAAAGGATGTGTTTTCTCTCCCTCCAAGCAGTGATTATTTGGGGGGCACTTTTAAGATACCTTTCAGGGTTTAGCACAGTGCACTGCGCACAGCGAATTTGGGTGCCAAGCAAATACAGAGAATTCTCATCAGCCCCTGCCCTCACCTGTGCACAGCGCCCCCTTGTCATCAGGAGGCAGCAGAGTGCTGAAGAGTTAGAAATGGGGATCCCAGAGGTGCACACCCCACACCTGGAGCCTGAAGTCCACACCAAGCCTCACCCTTGGTGTAGTGCGTTGTCACCATCATAGTGTATAGTACACTACTCTTTAGTGCCTTAAAAATCCCTTTGGGGTGTTTTTGTTTTACTTCAGCCCTAACATCTGTGCAAAGATCACCCTACTGCCCCTGCCCTGTCCCAATGGTAATGCCATCTGGCTCCCTCTCTGGACAGTGGGCACTGTCAGGACAGGGCAGTTCCCTCATGGTACTGCTCAGCTGTCACCAGGCAAGGCCCGGAGATGCATCCCTGGCTCTGGCTGCTGGGATTCCCCAAGGCACAGCCAGGCAGGCCCAGGAGGGCTGCTTGTGTCTGATTCAAAGATTCAGTGCCCACCTCCTGTTCCAGTTTACCTCTGCTACCTTCTGTGAGGACAAAGGACCCATTTAACCCCAAGGAACAGGACCCATGGGGACCAGGAGAGGAGACTCAGACCTGCTCCCTGGAAGGAAGTGGGGACCAGATCTGTAGCATTTCATGGCACTTTCTGACCCTGTCACCATCTCTAACAGAAGGTCAACAGGGCCCAGAGCTTCAGGCTCCCACTGTGGCCAAGCCAGAGGTCTGATGCAGGGAGGAACCTGGTTCCAGGAGAAGAAGACAGGAAGGCAAGGGATGGACAGTAGGGATAGGCTGGGCTACATCCTTTACCCCAAGGTTCTGGACAAGGAGGTCACGAGGCACAAGCGGGTCCCAGGGACTGAGTTGTGTCTTGGAGGTGAAAGCCTCCCTTAGAGCTGGAGAGAAGGGGTCACACGCTATTTATCAAGGTTGAAGTTTGGCTCACTTCTCCTTTCTCTGCAGGGGACCCCAAGACAGCAGCAGGAGTGGTCCAGGCGGTCATTGGCATTGCTGTCATAGCCCTGCTCGCTGTCTGTCTCTGCGTCATCTTCTTCATGTGAGCTTCAGCTCAGGGCATGGCAGGGGCTGGGCTGGAGCAGATGGATCTGGAGCCAGAGGGACGGAGGGATGTGAGGGGCAGGGGTGCTGTGCTACTGAGAATCCAAGCTGTAGCTTCTGGGAAAGCCTGGTCTGTCCAGGAAGTGGAGGAGGAGCAGGGAGAAAAGAACCTTGTATAGTGCCTTGTTATGCCAGCCACCAGGCAAGCGTTACCTTAGCCCTGCCATGGTTATTTGCCTCAGGCTCCTAACAGTGACCCCCCAAGTCTGAGGAAACCAGGCTCAAAGACCCTGCTGTCCCCCCTCAGAGTGAAGACATTCAAGAAGAAAGCACTCAAGACTGCAGAAGACACGAAGGACATTGAACCTGCTGCGGGGCCATCTTCGCTGGTGAGTGCCATGCTGAATCTGGGGTTGGGGCTGTGCCCCCAGACTCCTCCATGATGCGGTTTACTGCTGTGCCCCATTCGCCGGGTTCAGAATAGAACTGGTCACCTGCCGCCTGCTTTATCACCTATGTGTCAGTTTTATTCAGGCATGATAAGGCCAACCAACCAGGGAAGGCAACCACAGGAAAGGCAGTTCATGACTCACAGTTCCCAAGAGAAATGAGCATGCCATGCCAATGCCACAGAAGGCCGTGTGGGGAAGCACTAGGGTGAGCAGGAGGCAGAGCGTGGGAGATGCAGGCTTTACGGGAGGAAAGGAGGAGGCGGGGTGCACAGGCTCTGCAGGGGTGAGACTGGCTGCACTGCATAATTTCAGGAGGCTCTGGGACAAACAGCCCTGTCCCCAACTGCCTGGTACCAGCCCTGGAGTTATGGGGCAAAAGGATCATGGCCCTGAGTGTCAGCCTTCTGCAGAGAGTGTGGTTAAGCGTGGGCTTTGGTTTTGCTTTTTAGCACAGCAATGATGCATTTATGTGTGGGTCCTTTACTCTCTGTAGATACTGGCTGTCCCTGGAAGAGGTGGCCTCTCAAACAGCAAGGGCATGGACACAGCACATCACACACACGTAGCTAACACACCCCTAAGTGTGCTCCTCCTGCGGGCTTCCCTAATGATGGCAGTCCTGCCCGTGGAACTCAGCCAGGCACCTTCCCGCATTCCGCCCAAGTTCACTGTCCCCTCTTCCTCTGCCAGTAAGCTGCAAAGGATGTCGATCCCTCTTCTAAAGAAGTGAAGCCAACTTCTCCTTTTGAGCTAAGTTCCCCTCACTTTTGTTACCAAGCCGCAACTCTTCCTCCCCATGTGTCATCAGTATCCTATAAAGCCACTGCCCCGTAACCCAGTTATGAGATGCTCTATGCTGCTAAAAGTCATCCGAAGAGCGTGGTCTGGCATTTGGGGCAGGAAAGTCAGGGACACTTTCATTGCATGGCCTTCTTCCTCCCCGTGCCGCCTCTCAGGACGCTGGCCCAGCTACCCCTCCTGCACCCAGGCCCATGTCAATCTGCCCAACTCTGTTCATCATCTGAGCTCTGGTTTGCATCTATGTGCAAAATTCTGACTAAAGTAGACAGCGCTATCAGGTTGTTGAAGCCAGAGTCAGCAGTACCTGTGCATTTACCCAGTCCTTCAGTACATAATCAGCCCTCGTGGGTCAGTTATTCCAGGTGCTAGCACCTTGTCTGCATTTTTAAAAATCTACCATTATTATTGTGTATTTTGAGCAGAAGGGTGACATGAATTTTCACCATTCGAATGAATCCCTCTGTGAAATTAAAATATTCTACACTAGGTGGTGCAGGGGGGAGGCCAGAGACAGGAGACACAAGCGACTCAGCAAGGGACGAGTAGTGAGGGCAGCAATGAGGAATCTGGGTGGGAAGGTGGGTTCTCGCCGCACCCCAAAGACTGAGCCCACGGATTCTGCTAGTGGAGTGAAGACCTCACTGTGGGATATCGCCAAGATATCACACTCTCTGCCTCCTAGATACCTTGGATGATCAAGATGCCACAGATATCCGTGTATGTCACAGGTGACCCCACTCTGGTAAATCACTGAACTGCAGGTGACAGAAACTTCCAGCCCTGCAGGAAGACAAATGCTTCAAGAAATAGAATCAAACACTGTTTTGCGTGAGGCACCTCTGAGAATTCAGCTTAGACCGTAAATGCCAACAGTTTGTGGTGAGGAGTGGGTTCCAGATGAATACCGAGTTTGGGGGCCCTCCACGAGAAGGTCTGAGGATGGAGGAAGCCACTAAAGTAGTGAGTCCGACCGAGCTCAGGAGAGGAGGCCAGGAGAGGAAGTGGAAATTGTGAGTTTCAGAACGCTTTTGAGAAATGCTGTGGTAAATCTAGAGCTGAGAAATAGGTTTGCAGCAGAAAATGCTTCTGCTTTGCAAAGCTTGACATTTCTAGGAGATCCCGAGCCAGATCCCCTGCAAGGCTGTGTCACCCTCTGTAGAGGTCTCCTCCCCGCTGGTCCATGGCTGCCTCCACCATACTCGCTGCACGGGGCAAGGACAGGTCTGAGGAACCTTCCTAAATTCTCTCCTGGTCACCCACATGGAGTGCCAGTTGTCACCATATGATTATTTGGCAGTGTTTGTCTCTGTCTCCTTCAGCACTGGAAGCCACAGGGCCGGTCTCTGCATCGCCCGGGTCCATGTATCCGTTGCTGAGCACGCAGGAGGAACCTGGCTGGTTGCATGATCTGAGGACAAGTGGCCTTTCCAAGTACTTAATCTCCCTAAGGTTTAGTTTCTGTGCCAGGAAAATGGACAAGATAATAGCATTTTTCACATAGGTGCTGTGAGCATTGTGAATTAGAAAGCAGAAATGAATGGAGGTGTGTTGGCCTTCTGAACAAGTACTTGATCAAAAAATGAAAGGTGAAATTCACTTTATGGACCCTCTCTGCCTTGTCCAGGTTCCTCTCTCCACACTGTGACTCCCTTTTGTTTCTCCTCAGGGTAACCCAGCAGAGTCCAAGCCACAAGACTCCACTGAGCCCTCTGGTTCCATGGAGGCCACCACCGCCACCGCCACCGCCACCTCAGAGGAGGAGCAGGAGATCCACTACGCCTCCATCACCTTCGGTCCCCGGAAGTAATCCTGCGGGGAGCCCTCCGACCTCAGGATCCACTGAAGGACCGAGGGGAGCGTGGGGCTCAGCCAGGACCCTGAGCCTCTGCTGGACTCCCAGGCTGATTCCTGAGACATAGCATCCCCATCTGCACTGAGTTTATAAACTACTGTTGCAAGTTTCCTGCGACACTGAACTTATCTCAGACTTTGCAGTCAGAGAGAGTTGGGATGGACCTATGTTCTCTGGTTTTCTAAGAAGAGTGCAACATCAGGAGGGCCACTACACCCACCATGACCCATCTCCTGCTCCGCTCTGTACGTGGGCGTGAGCAGCTCTGCTTCACAGGTTGCTGTGGGGATTAAATAAAGCATGCGTGGAAGACGCCCAGCAGAGGTCCCCGTGTGTACCCACCACTCACTGGTTCCTTCTCAGCGGGCCATCCAGTCCAGAGGCTCAGGGTGTCCCATTGAAAATTGTATCTGCAGCATGTCAGACTCATTCCCTGCTCAGACCCTGCCATGAAGCCCTTCCTTGACTCTACATCCCCCCCAGTATCACCACTGCTTCTACTCCTTAAATCCTCGCCCCTTCCATCCCACCTCTCCCTTACTCACATTTTCCACTTCTTTTATGCCCTCCTAAGCCATATGTTAGCATCTGACATTTTCTTAAAGTTAAATATGACCAGAGTCAGTTCCCCAAACCAAAAGACTAACTGATAAAATTTCAACATGACCTTCTAGAACAAAGACTGAGAAACCTTTTTGTAAAAGGCTACTGAGTCAATATTTTGGGCTTGAGCTGGGCATGTAACTCTGCAGTACAGCACCTGCCTAGCAAGTGCGAGGCTTTGAGTTCCATTCCCAGTATCAAAAAAAAAAAAAAAAATAGGCTTCACAAGCCATAGTTTCACACGACAATCTGCAAATGAACAAACATGGCTGAGTTTCAGCAGAACTTCATTTACACACCATGGGCCATTGTTTGCTGTGGGTCCTACACTGCACGTATCTCTCCTCCTTTGCAGAACCCTACCACTGATCCAGACTGCTCTACTGATCCATTTTGATGCATCCCTCACTGATGTGTGGCATCTCCTCCAAGGGGCCCCATCCCACACCCTCATTGGATAAAATGTGCTTACCCTTCAAAATGAGCTCAGAAGTTGAAGTCTGGGTAGACACAGTGGACAGAAGCTCATACCCATAGCCCCCCCCTCCTGAAAAGACCGCGTAAAATAACAGAAAACTAGTCTACGCGGAAACCACCCAAACTTCACCATCGCTGTAAAAGGGTTAAATTATTAGGCTACAGATTGATAAGAATCGTTAAGTACATGGAATATTCTGGCACTGTGTCCGAAGCAGCTAATGCCTAACCCCTATTTCCACAGCAGGCCCCGCAGAGTCCACCCTCTGAGGAGGATGCTGGCAGCCTGGTGGTGCAGACAGCCCTGCCTGCTAACACTGGGAACTGACCTTAGACCTCGAGTCTAGATGAGAAGCCACCGTTTCCTGTCTCTTCTTTCTTTGCAAAACTATATCATTGGCATAGTACCAGAATATGTCTTTGCAAATGTTCCAGACAAAACAAATAGCTAAACTGAGGTGAAAAGGCAGGCTGGCTTGGGGCCCAGGAGTGGAGGAACACTGTAGAGGCGGAGCATCTGTCCCCCTTCCCACTCCTGCACCACTGGGCAGGGGAAGGCCCCTCAGACCCAGCTCCCCCACATCTGCTCCCCCAATGGAAGGCAGCTGCATGTGTCCACTGGTGTCCTTCAGGGCAAACGAGCAGCCCCTCTGACAACATGAGGCAGGTTCAGTATCTCCAGGAAGGAGGATCAGTGGGACCCAGAATTAAGTGGCCACAAAGCAGGGTCCTTTGGCACCAGGTCTGAGATGCAGGTCCAGTAGGAACAGATGGAAGAAGGAACCCAGTCTCAGCACCTGGTGTTTCTCACTTCTGATTTTCTCCTTTGTGATGTGAGGCTAAGGTTGGACAAGATCCTTAAAGAAGCAGGGGTGAGGCCAGTAAGCAGAGAGGCCTAGCAACCTCAGCCCTCTGTGGCTCAGCCAGCTATGGAGGATACCGTGCTGTCCACAGCAGGGGTGCCCCTGGGGGAGGAAGATGGCAGGGAGCGATCAGCTCAGCGGACTCCTGATCATGTGTCCTTCCCTAAACTGACTCAAGTGTCTCTCAGCAGAAGTGGCCGCTCTGCATCCCTTTGCCCTCCTGGGTTAGCACTGGGGTTCTCAGACCCCGGGTCAGGGCTTTCTGCAGAGTTGGGGAGCACCTGGTCTCAGTTGCACCACAGTCAGCAAAAGCATCACCATCCCACACCACCTTGTCCCACCTTTTCCTCCTGGAAAGAATTCTCTCTTTTCTTTACTCTCTCTCTCTCTCTCTCTCTCTCTCTCTCTCTCTCTCTCTCTCTCTCTCTCTCCAGCTGACCTACAACTCCAGCTCCTTTTGTCTTTTATCTTGAAACTGGGACTTCCTAAGTTTCTCAGGCTGACCTTGAACTTGCAGTCCTCCTGACTCAGCCTCCCCCAGTACTGTAATTACAGATGTGTGCCACGTGCCTGACTAGGCAATGTGTCTCAGGGAGAGCAGCAGCCCTGGGCCAAGCCTTGCCAGAATCCTGTGCAGAAGAGGGCGGGGCCCGCAGAAAGGGCTGGTGACACCCTAGAGTGGTGAAGCTGGTTGGATGCCTGGGATCCTCCAGGGTGGACTCCCTGCCACCTACAGATGTTAACTAGGAATCTGTGCTTTCCTGAGGTGAGGACGGAGCAGTCACAGTATTCCTGGGATTTAGTAATCAGAGCCATTGTTGGGGCAAATTGGTAGCAAGGCATTCACTACTCCAAGAGTGACATTTCACTCTGTCGGAAGGCTTGCGGGGGACACAGCACTTCTTTTTCATGTGTAGTTCTCCTCCCACTCACCCCAAAAAACTACAGGCTTCTGTTTTTCTCTCTCCAACTCTGCCCATTTTCATTCTCTCAGTTCAAGACAGGGCCTTCCTTTTTCTGTATTTTCTCACATTTCTGTCTGGAACCTTCTAGCCTCCAGCTAGCTGATCTCAAGCACAGCAAGGCTCCCACCCCAATTTCTGCCAGACCCCTCCTGCCATTCTTTCTGGCCCAGCTGCCCGAGCCACAGAGAAGCAGGAAATCTGGGTGCTTCTGATAGGGCTTTGAGACCACAAAACCGGAACTTGCTGCCCCTCCACATCCCCCTGCATGTGACTCTGTTTCTGGCCTTGCCTGCTGCAGGGTGCCCAGCAGCGGCCCAGGTTCCTTCCCCACAGCTGCATCAGATGGCTGGGGGAGGGGCACTGCCAGTTCCTAAAACAGGCCAGGATCCAAGGGGCAAACACACACACACAAGCACACATGAAAATTCTTCATTCCTCCAAGGGTAAAGGTTATAACTCTCATAAAATTAGCACAGTAAAGGTTTTATTTTATTCATTATTATTCAGGGAATAAGGAAAGATTTTAAAAACTCACAAATTTATACAGAGAGTAAGGGAGTGTGGGAATGGATTTGTGAATGGGCACGGAACTGGCTTGCTGTGGGGATTCAAACAAACCTCCAACAGACAAGTGGACGTGCATACCTTAGACAGGAACTGCTTGCATTTGTATTAGTTAACTCCAAATTCTAGCACTGTAAAATAGGTAAAAGACAAAAATGTTAGATTCAAGTCCCCCCAGAAGTGTATGCTGTAAAGAACACAGCTTTCATTAAAGAGTCCCAGTAATCTAATTTTGCTTTCTAAGTTTCTTTACACTTCTTACACCAGCTATTCATAAGTATTTATCGTAGGCCATTCAGATGAGGAAGCTCTCAGAGTAAATAGATAAGATAGAAAACCCTCCATGTGACTTATATTTTAATGGTGGAAGAGGTAGATAAGGGATAATTAAACAGATTATATGCTATATTGATTGGTAATAAGACGTTGGGAAAAAATGAAGAGATACAGGGAGTATCGGATGAATTATACTCCTCAATATGTAATCCCTGGACATTAGCAATGAGAACTGACATTCACATATACATAGATATGGCATGTGTGTGCATGATTAAGCAGTCACACCAGTGACATTAGTCACACAGACACACATGCATCCAGAGAGACCACAGGGATACATAAAAACACACACACAGACACAACTCAGTACAGACTCACATTTCAGATATACACAGGCATATACCCAAACACACTTCCAAATTCACATATACACTGCATGTACATGCATACAAAGCAGTCTCATATACTCACCGCATGCTCACATATAGAACACAAAAACACATCAGTTACGCACCCAAAGAATTTAGACCCACACTGACACATGCACACTTCAAAAACTCATATGTGTACCACATATGCACAGGCACACATGCATACACCTCAGATATACTGAGACCACAGATAGACACACAGGCACAAATGCGCACAGCGGACACCCACAGCACACCTACACACGGACACATGCACGTCACCCCTGACTCATGCACACACATTTACACTACAAACACAAAATGGGACACCCGCTATCCTGCACTCTGGTCTTTGCTTTATGATGCTGGAGCCCTGGCCCTCGGGTCAACTGGACCCAAGGTGCCAGCAGAAAAGAAGCTACAGGAATGCTGGCCGAAGCTCAATTCTCAGCTCCCACTACCCCTGCTCACTGACCAGGGTCAGCATCCGTCTGTCTCTGGGCCTGAGGTCTCCTGGGGCCTACTGACCTCGCCCCTTAGGGGACTATCCTCTTCCTGCAGCACTGGGGAGGGGCAGGGCCCCTCAGCTTTCTCTAGAGCCTGGGAAATGAAAAGCATGTCTGATTGAGGAGGGAGTGAAGCAGAGGGACAAAGAAGGGTGGACTCCAAGGTCACAGGTAGCATGAAAGCCCAGGTGCATAGGTAAGTAGCTTCTGTTCCCTGATGATGCTGTCTGGGTCCTGCTCTGAGGGCTGGATGAGGCTGGACACAAAAGACACACTGAGAGCCCTTCGGGGATGTCGAAAAGTTCTCCTGCTCTTGTGTCCACCCCAGCCTGGAGAGAGCACCCTTTTGGATTCTGTAGCTTTTCCTGCCCAGAGGCCAGGCTCTGGAGGGACCCTGAGGTGTCTCCCTAAGGGCAGAGTGCTGGAGGGATCTGGACAGGAGGGAAGGCGTCCCCTCGCGGGACAGCAGTGCGTTCTGCTGGCTGCAGAGTTCACCTAGTGACTCATTTCCACCCCTTCCCACAAAGAGGAAGAGAGGTGCTGAGGTGCAGAGATTTAGACTTACACTTTCTCAGACCTTGGGTCAGATGAGATAGAGAACAAAACTCAAACCAAAAGGACCGAGGGGCGGGGCAACTGATTGTGGTTACTG